TCCTTAATTAATGCACAATAAACACGTCTTAAAGATTCATAGTGTTTACAGATGAATTAATAACTATTTATAAGGGGAGTGTTATTGTAAAGTGGTACCAGTATTTTTATAGTTTGAATAAACATATTTGCCCATGCATCCTCAATCTTGTGATGTTCCTGTGAGTTAACTAACCAACAGCTATTTGTTTGCTAGTTAAAGCAGTCTAATATAGCAACACCTTCCTAAAATAACTGTGTAACTCAATTTTGCCAACTAAAAACTTGGGTGATTATTTTAAGAGATCCACATGTCTCAAAATAAATTGACAACAACTAAAACTAAGGATATTCTATCTATAATTTCAGTTAGTTTTAGTTCATTTTGTAAAAAGATTATACAGTTTTAGTTAGTTGTCGTTTTCTCATTTTATTACAGTTTTTATTTAATTAACTAAAATGTTCAGTTTTTGTTATTTAGTTAGTTTTAGTTAACTATAATAACTCTGATCAGGGCTGGGAGATCGTGTAAAAGTTGGAATTACATATTTWTTTACCCATTGGCAGGTCAGGTGGTTTGGCCTGAGCACTGGGCACAGGCCGTGGGGCTCCAGGGTGGGTGTCGGGGATAGGTCGAGGGGCCCCGGGGTGCACCTCGGGGATGGGCCTTGGTGCTCCAGGGTGAGACGGAGGCAGTGGGCGAGACTGAGGCGTCACGCTGATCACTCCAGCTCGAGGGGGAATATTCTGGTGGATGGAAAACAAATAAAAACGACAGAAAATAAAACAGAGAGGAAGAAAAAGGAAACGTTTGTATTTAAGTTTGAATTCTTGGTTGTGAACTTACTGGTCTGGAAGGTCCAGGAGCTCCAGCTGCTGACTGACCCCGACCTGATTGAAACAAAGACAAACATTTATAAAAAAAAGGCAGACTTTGCAGAGCAAATAACAAGACAAGATAAAAACAAAAAGTGGTTTAAAATAATGAAAATAACTAATAAAGGTTGAGAAAATGTCATCCATCTCCATCTGAACAAATTCTGCAGCCACCTCCATTATCAGTGATGACTCAGTTATTGTTGAGCTGCAGGAGGTCTGTAAAAGAGAAAGGCCTTGCTCTGTGAGCCGACTGCTTACTACAGTTAGGATACTCCTCTTCTTTCTCTATTATCTTCCTGAGCCCCTCTCAGAGCCKACAATCATGTTCCCACAGTGCTTAAATATCTTTTTCAGTGGAATTCCTCCCCGTACAGCCACCTAACGTAATGCTAACTCCACACACCCTTACTATGAAAGAGGGAATCAGCGAACCACAAATGGGTCAAGATAGGCTGCAAAACCAAACTCTATCCTCCACCCAAGGACAGGCAGATTTGGTGYCAAAACATAAAACGCACAATGGAGGTTTACAGCGGCAAGGGGAAGGTTTGATTTCACCAGCATATCACAAGTACAAGTAAACACAACCACTTACAAAACGTTCACGCCAAGCRGGGCTGCGTCATGCTTTGCGGCACTCACCTGCAGCGCCGTCTGGTCGAGGAAGAGCGGGACTTTTTGGGCCTTTGCAGCACAAAGGAAGCCAAATCACATTACAGTTACACAAAGTGGCCTGCTGAAAATCAAACAACAGGCGTTTCCCATGGAAAACTGCTTGCTAGAAGCACTTTGGAAATTGTATATGAGGGAAAACAGTAAAGATTGAATTGCTGAGTTTCTGCCTTATCACTGATTACTGTAGTGGAGCTAAAAAAAAGCTTCTTTCAACACATCATCTCTTATGTTGTGTTTTTTTCCAACAAGTATATTAAACGCACATTTAAAAAGGTAATCACTATTAATCAGAATGTCCAATAAAAARCATGTAATACAGTTTAAATGCTGGGTTTAGTTTCATTAAAGGAAATGCATCTGAAAGCAACAATGCATTAAACTACAGCTTAATATTAGATCTGAATGAGAAAATACTGTTTTCAAAGATGAAAAACACTTTTTTCCTCTTTCATGGCTCATTAAATTAGAATCTTTAACCATAAGATTTATTTATTTATTTTCCTCCCAACAGCCAACAAATCACATCTAGGTCACACAAACAAACACAACTAAASGTCACACAACATCAATGTCAAGTCTTCACTAACATTGATGACTGAGTTTAAGGGTGTATGAATCATAACATAATTAAAAACTAACTACTGGTTTGTTACCTTCACTGCCTCTCCTACCAAGCAGTGGGCTGGGACATTTGCCACAGTCTTAAAAAGAAAATGTTATTTCCACCCATCAAAAAAACAGAAAGTAGAGAAGAAAACATTTAAAAAGCAACAATTATAAATTGAACCATTTAGCTTCAGYTTAAAACAAAAAAAGGTACAGAAAACTTTATCATATTTTTACAGTATTTAAAAAACGACAGATGGATGAGTATCTGCCAAGATCRCATATTAGAAGAAATAAATGATGCAAAATGCTATGAGAAAACAAGCTTGAAAATGCTACAAAGATCGCTAACCAAACTCAGTAAAAAGGTAACATAATTTCTTTATGCACACGATAGTTATCACTTCCAAAGTAAAGCACAAATGTTCTAACTCTTTGAGTTAAATTTATGAGTTTAATAACGTCTTAATCACACACGGTGAAATAGAAAAAAAATTACCCTAATCAAAAGTTTCACACTGATAAGAATCAGAACATTTCATTTGTGCCTTTTTGAGCTCTGATGGAAAACATCACTCGTTCAAATAACTCAGCCTCATCAGAAGGGAAACACATCACTTCTTTAAGAGCTTTCACTTTACCTGCAGAGTACTTTCTAACCGGCTGAGGACTCGTGCCTCCTTTGGGAGTTTGGCAAAGCAGTGGGATAAAAAAAATGAAATGTTACGACCTGCCTAAAAGATCTCATTGTGTGGCAGGAKGAGAAAACATAAATCTAAACTGTGTAGGATCCCAGTTTGTTCACTTCTGTGTGTTTGAGCGGACGGTCCTTTACCTGAAGGTGGGGGTGGGCGTTGAGGTGGAGCAGGTCTGGGTGGTGGGGCGTTGGGGCGAGGAGGAGGAGCTCGTTTGGGCTCCACGCTTTGAGCTGTGGGGGCTCCGGGCTGGAAGTCAACAGGAGGCCCTGGACGGAAACAAAACACAGGAAAACTAATGTATCCAATAAAATGGGGCAATTTCAGATTTCACCTTTTATAAATGGGTTTTTCAGAATAAACTGCTCACTACATTCACTCTGCAAAAACACGGTCATCCACCACAACAAAACTTAACATTATGCAKAAGGAATTACAAGTTAGTTTATTGTACAAATACACACAAAAGCAATTTGCAACACTGTCCATCCTTTACTTATTATTTTGCAAAGATGGAATTTAGATTTGCACACATTTGCAGTAGATTTACAKAAAAGAGCGTTATCGCAGATCCTTCCTCCCAGCAGCTGTGAGACTCTATAACCGGCACCACGCCCAAAATTCACAATAAGTGTTTAAACACCTGCTGCTGCAACATCGTTTATAGTCTACATTTTAAACTGTTACTATTCATTGTAATTATTCAAACTGAACAATCATTTGCACTATACTCTGCCGTAATTGCACATCTGTGTTTCTTGTCTGTATAGTGATACTTCACTTTACAGTTATTGGTCTGCTGGGATTGTTTTTGCACTTAAAACAGGAAACTTCTGATTCCGAATGTTGGATTCTGAAACAAAACATCGTTTTTCTATTCTTGCACAATTCTTGATATTATTTTTATTTTTATTATTAGTACTTGTATCATGGCTAGTAAGTGTTAATTTTTGTGTGTACTATCTATAGTTTGTAAAGTAACTAGTGTGTGAACCTTTGTACTGATGCTGCTGTGAAACCTGCATTTCCCCGCTGCGGTACAATAAAGGCTATTTCTATTCTATTCTATTCTATTTCTATTCTATTCTATTATCACACACCTATGCATGTTTCAAGAGGCAACACTTTACTGAAAGACACAAACAAATCACACACCACATTACCTGGAATTTCCCTTCTCTGTGCTGATGGACTTATACCACCTTCCACATATTGCAAACACAACAAATTTAAAGTTTATATGCCAGCAGACAAATTATCAAATGTTTTTCAGYCATTTATTTAACGTCTTTGTGTGCTTTAATTACCTTGCGATGGYCGAGAGGGTTGTGGTGCACGACTGGGTCTGCTGGGAACAGCAGGTTCTCCGTGGGTAGGGGAGGGACAGGGACTGCTGCGGGGGGAGGGAAGAGGGGAGGATCCGGGAGCAGAGCCGGCGCCAGGCTGCAGGTGCTGAGGAAGGATGTCCTCCACCTCGTCGTCCACGTCACCTGGAGACGAACGCGTGAAGGGAAGAGTTTTTCCTGCACTTTAAATGTCCAAGGACCAGGAAAGCTCGGCGGCGGCTCCTCACCTTCCATATCGTAATCGTCGTCAGCCACGTCCACGTCCTCAGCAAGCAGAGTGGAGCTGGCTGACGTGGGCATGCTTCCGCAGATCCTTTCCACGCTCATTTCCTCCTCCAGACTCTTGATCCAGCCTGGACTCTTTAAGCGGATGTCAATCAATTTGTCAAGGATCTAAAAAGAGGGAAGCAAATAAGAGAAGCAGAAAGATTTTATTAACAGGTTCACARCTATTTGAGAAAGAATGCTGTCACGTGTGCAATGACACATTATGGTTTACATCAAATTCATATTTCACTGACATACGAGATTTACACAACATTAGATGCTAGAACTGAAATACTGCTTCAAGTGAAAGTGGTTTTGTTGTTGAGGTAGATTGGCTGACATAAAAGGTCACATCACAATGATGCTGGGGGGTTTAGATTCTGTAAAAATGCTTACAAACTAATACTTTTAAACAGTATAGTTTATAAACAGTTTATAAACTGCTTCATAAACATTAATGCCATTTTTAATATAGTAGTTCATGCAGAATAGACTTAGCTACACACTAGACACGTTTCCATCTAATTGTAATTCAAATTTTGAGCAAACTTTTAAAATAATGCAAAAAATAAATAAATTAATTAAATCTGGGAAGAAGATTACAGCGGAAGCAGCTGATCGATCATGTGAGGTAAATGTTCGCTACGTCAGAACCTATTTAGTGTTTCCATCTCCACTTTTTGCGCATTAACTCTTTTTCAGAAAATCCCGAAAACACCTCAAGCTAGCGCAAAAACTTTACTGAAACTGAGGACGTTTTTTTCTCTAACGTGATACTTCAAAATGTGCATAAAAAAACATTGATGGAAACATGGCTACTAATGCTAAATTAATTATCTTTTTAATGTAAAGACACRCAAACGAACCAAGTTCTTGTTGTGCTCTAACACAATGGCTTCCTTTACAATACTTTCATCTTTTTAGAGTCTTTAAACCTCTTTTTCCTCCAAAAAAGAAAAACAAACATTTGGCATAAGCCACTTTAGGCTGCTGTTATACAAATAAAGCTGCAAACAAATCTAAACATTTGCTGACAATTAAATTTCATTAACAACATAAAACAGGCACACAAAAATGTTTTAAACTGAAAATAAAACTGATGTTGAAAAATAACAGGCCTTTTCCAAAATATTTTTTTTTCTTCTTTTTTTTTTTTTTAGTTCTAATGCTTTAACAAATCACAATTCCTTTCAGCTGTATTGGCAAGATTGTTACCCAGTTAAACTGTTCACCCATGAGAAACAAACAGAACAGTGAGWCACTTTAATCTGGATGTCCTGTTTTTATTGGATCATATTTCCCACCTGTAACTTTTAGTAGTCTTCCAGCTGAGAGGTCTTGAACTATAACTGATTCTAAGTAATGACTTACTGTGGATCCGCTGAGAGAGAGCGCAGCCAGGGCAGAGTAACCTTCCAAAAACGTCACCCACATTTTTTCTTCAACAAACCTGCGCAGAAAAAAGCATTTGATCAATGCGGGGCAGTTGTGTAAAGGTGACCCACACCTCTCTGCAGTGTGACGTTAGGCTTACCTGATGAGGATGACCTCTCCAAAAGTGGTAAACTTATCCAGCAGCTCATCTATGAGTTCATCACTAAAGTAGTCATCCGGCCCAGAGGTGCAGAGAGACACCAGGATGGTGCCATCTGGTGGCCCCTGTCGGGCGATGACATCTTTGTAGACCTGGTGCCGTGCCTCTGGGTCCACCTCCAGGATGTCCACATCTATTACTGCCACCACAGGCCTAAAGAAAGACATGAATATTTTAGATTTGATCGCAGCAATATCCCYGAAACATGTGAATAGATAGTTCAATTATGTCAATTTTTTTGTCAATTCAAAAATTTATTCATTTCATTTAACTAAAATATTT